GGAGCCCGGGCCTGTCTGGGGGTTGCGGAGGCAGGAAGGCCCCGGGCCTCGTCTTCAGCAGCCGGGCTTCTACCTGACAATACACCCCCTTGCAAAACCGATCAGAATTGGGAAAGTTTCGAGTGAATTCTGCCCGTGCACGTTTGTAGCTGCCGGCTGCTTTTGCAAAGGCAAAACCTGAAAGATTCCAGTTGTCAGGCTCGACTAGGTTATCACAGAAAGAAATGTTCTTTAATAGCATTTCAGGGCACCCTTCCATTTTTGAAGCAGGACAGACTTTGCTTACTGGAAATTTGCACACAAATGTATTTTGACCTGAGAATTTAAACATAAAGCCAAGCCAAGGCACTGTAAGATGCACAGCTGACTGAAATGGGAAGGGCTATGGTAGAAACTGGTGGTGGATCAAGTATACCCCAGGAATTCACTGTTTTCCACCTCAACTGGGAAAGGTTTCTGTGCCAAGTGCTACACCAAGCAGGGGGAGATTCACCTAGAAGGGCCCCTGAATCAAAGGCCAGGAGAACAGCTGGCTTGGGACCTGCCCTCTCTTTGACAACCCGGCTCTCCTTGCTCTCAGGCGTGAGGACAGGGGACCTCTGGGCTCCCGGGTGCATCAGCCCGAGTCGGGGTGAGGGGACGGTGGCCGTCGTTTCCCGAAGAGTCTGGGGCTAGTGGGCTGGGCCCCGGGCGGCTCTCTACAGGGCGCCTCCCGACCGCTTCCTCTCCTCTGGGTCTGGTTCCAAAGGCCCCCAGATACCCAGGGAGCCCGTGGGCATTGGGAGACAAACCATCAAAAGAGGCCTCGCCGGCAATTCCGCAGGAGGCTGTGCCCTCACGTGGGGAAGGGGAGTGGCTGCTGCTCTGGGAGGATCAAAGCCTCAGAGACACGGACTCAACATTCAAAGAGACTCGGGGAGAGAAAGGCGGGGACGCCTTCTAATCATCTAACAGCTTGTTTCTGCGCAGTTTTACCCAATCCCCATGCACAGAAGTAGGACAGCGACGTGACAGAACGCAGAATGTGCTGGTAGCCTCGCCTCACAAGCCCGCCGGATGCCCTTGGGGAGCGCGTGTGTGTAAATACACACTCACGTGTGCGTACAACAAACGTGTCACGTGACGTGCCAATTGGGGAAAAACAGGAATAAAAGTAAAGAAATTGGCTTTTTAGATCAGGAAATACAGACTTAATCCAAATACATTATGTTGCTCTATGTGGAAGACAAAAATAACATTTCCTAAAACAATGGGGGAAAGTTTGGCAGCAGAATTCCATGAAAACATGACCTTTAAAGATGGATTTCAGTTCTTCCACAAGTTAACAAACCCAAATCTTTCAAGTCTGAGCGAATTAAACTTTGATAGATTACCTGGTGAAATTGATATCTTGCTAAGTGTTAAAATAAGAGGTTATTAAGAAAGATGTGACTTTCCAACAGGTAAAGCAAACAAAAATATCACACACTTCGGCGTGTAAACTAACTAAGAATCTTTAAAATGCTGACTCTGTCTATGAGATGGTTCTATTTTAAGGGAGAAGAGAAAAAAAAAAAGTTTAAACGTGTTTGCATTCGAAGCTAATAATGCAAACTACTCACTGTTTGGAAACAATTTATGAAAAGCCCACTGATTTTTCAGGAACCCTCCATGAGTCCGCTGGAACCTCAAACCCCAAACCACGGATTACGCGCATGCAGGGGCATGGCACGGACCACCAGGGACCGCAGGGGATGGATATTGGAAGACGTAGACCAGAGCTTTATGAAGGGCCAACCACACGAGGGCCTTCCCACTAGAAGAATCTGGCAGCAACACCACTGCTGTGCAGTTTAATTAGGACACGTGGCCTCTCTGGCTCTCTGGGAAGAAGGAATCACACACCCAGTCCCTCCTCCAGACCACCAGCCCCTCCCCTCCCCTCCCCTCCCCTCCCCTCTCTCCCAAGGCCTGTGCCCTGCATCCTTCCTGCATGAGAACACTCAGGTCTTTCGTTTAAAGGGTGACCTCATATGCTGGTATCGGTAAAACCTATGACACCTACAATTCCACCTTTCCTAGGCCACTCACTTACTTCTATACTTACACAATACTCTTTTTCTCCTTCAGAAACTTTATAAAATGAATTGAATATTTCCATCGTGTCCCCATGAAATAAAGCATAATATTAAATTGTTCAATTTTCCTTGTAACTCCATGATGAGAATTACGCTGAGGTTGTCCATAACCTCCCCTGTATTGTGGAATTCGCAAAGTGCAGACGTTCAACGATTTGAAAACGAAGCGTGGAAGCAACAAGATACTGTCCTAAAATTACTGTTTTGTGCTTGAAAGACTTTAAAAAACTTTTCAGACAGGTTTTTAAACTTGAAGGGGGTCTCCATGGCAGTTACAGAAAAACCTAACAAAGTACGGATACGTGAATGAATGAACACCTGCTTCGTTTACAAATGTACAATCTTCGAGGCCTAACTACACTCTTACAAGTCCTTAATCCATGACTCAGCTAAATGGAGAGCTAAGAATCATGGCATCCTTATCTCCTGAGTGTGTTCTGCTAAAAACAAATCAAAACAACATGACAGCCTAGTGCCGGCATGTTCTCACCGGTAAACAGGCCACTTTGAGGGGGCAAACCTCCACATTTAATCAAAGTAGTTCCCACAAGGGTGTCCTGTAGTAATTTCAAAACTAAGCCCACCAGAAAATCTTTACGATAATTTCATTTCCAAATTTTCCTAGATCCTATTTTTTTTTTTTTTTGCGGTACGTGGGCCTCTCACTGCTGTGGCCTCTCCCGCTGCGGAGCACAGGCTCCGGACGCGCAGGCTCAGCATCCATGGCTCACGGGCCCAGCCGCTCCACGGCATGTGGGATCCTCCCGGACCGGGGCACGAACCCGCGTCCCCCGCATCGGCAGGCGGACTCTCAAGCACTGCGCCACCAGGGAAGCCCGATCCTATTTTTAAAAGAAAAGTTTTTTCCTGTGTTCTCCCCCCCCACCTTTTTTTTTATTATTATTATTAATCTGGATTGAAGAAAAGCACACATTTCATTTATTGTCTGGATTACAGATTCTTATTAAACAAACCAGAGCTCATTATAAAATCAATATCAACTTAAGCACCATGCCCCCAGGAGGAACCACATAAAGGTCACTGCAAGAAATTCAAACAATTTTCCCACTGGAAGGGCATGATTTTAATTACAGATACTATTAATTAGAGCTGTCACTGGGAAGCTTTTTTTTTTTCTGTTAATTATCACAAACTCAGTCCTAAGTGTGCATTTGCAACCTGCACTTTTGTCAGAATTAGTCGCTTCTGCATGCAAGTCCAACCTTTCCATTCTATCAATATTTTATATTCAAATTTCAAAGCATATCAAAGGATGCCGTGCTTTCTACAAACCTCCGCCCGTACGATCTGCCATCTCTCACACACCTGACAGAACTACTGTGATAATTTATTTATGTCCCGGCACAGGCTTGGCCCAGAAGAGACCCAAACGCCTACACTGGTATTGCTCAATAGAATTTCTGGATAAATTCTTACTGGTTTGTGTGACATTTTTTTTCCAAGCTGCGTCTTCAAATGTGCTTTTTCTTTTGCTTTGAAGCAAAGCTATAGCCCCTGAAATGCCATCTCCCACACATTTCAAGTTGCTGTTTCTTTATAAGAAAAGATCGTACTGACCAGGCTTCTGACCCCCTCCAGAAAACCAGAGGTTTTCTTCATTCAACAACAGCACCGAGAGTTTTGAAGCAGGGAAACTAGTACTTTCTGGTCTCTCTTAAGCAGAGCGATTTTATCAGTTCATCCCAGCACCTTATGTGAGACAGGGTCAGGGTGGCTCTCAGACAAGCTCCTGGCGGGGGGTGGGGGGT